AACAACAACAAAGAATCAGGGTATTAAAAATGATTGTTGATGAAAAATTGAAAGGATCCTGAGTAGATACATGGCTAAGCAGTCAGCTGCTAAGTGAAAGATCAACAATTTGAACTCACCGAGTAGTTACGTGGGAGAAAGCACCAGGTGATTTGCTCCCATAAATATTGTTGTTGTTAGGTGCCAGCGAGTCAGGTCTGACTCATAACAGCCCTGTATAGGGTTTCCACAGAACAGCTGCTGGGTTTGAACTGCTGATCTTGTGGTTTGCAGTCCAGTGCTTATCCTACAATGCCACACTAGGGGTTTAGCCATTACAAGTAATCAAATCCAAACTAACCATATTAAAAAAAAAAAAAAAAAATTCACCTCCCATGCTTCTTGGTTCTTTCTCTTACAAAACCTCATGCTTCCATTAGTCTGGAGCCATTGCAATGAATCCCATCTTCGTCGACAACAGCAAAAACTATGTGGGAGCCATGTCTAACTTCCCCTGGTTTCAGAGGGGGAAAGAGAATCAAACTCAAAATCAACCCAAGGCTGCTTCTCATGAAGTGGAGGTCAGACATGCCTCTACCTCACAACCTTCTTTACCCTATTCTGACACCAACCATCCCTCCCACAGAACTCTCTGCTTCATGGCAATGGCCACACAGAACTCACAAAAATTCTCACTAATATGGGGTTTATTAGGGAAGTGAACAAGGAGCAATTCAGGATCAAAATCACCTCAGGATGCACCAATCAGGAACACCTCTTGTCTGCCATACTAAAGGCACGCCTTGCTCTTACCTTTGGCCTGTTAGCCTTGTGGCCTCTTGGCCTCTGCCTCAGTCCATGGGCCTAGAGTCTGAAGCTGTTGTCTCTCCATGCTGTCACCTCTGCCTATAAATATTACAGCTTAGGAATCCCTAGGGGGCAGTACTGCTCTGTCATATAGGGTTAATTATGAATTGGAACTCTATAATAACAGTAACAGATAAGATAGAGAAAATGAGTCCCAGGAATACATCGAAGATACTTTGGAGATTTAGAAACTATTTGGTTAAGAATGTTAAAAACAAAACAAAAAATATGTCTATCACTTTTAAGAAGAAAGTAACAAATAAGTACTTGTATAAGATATTTATTTTGCTCAATCTTTTTGATTTTAGAGGTAATGAATTTCTAGATTTGTATGACAGACTAAATAGATCAAATATAAAATTTATGCATTTCCAAGATGTTTTAAAATTAAAGATATACTTCACAATAAATGATAAATGTGTGTAATCTTAGAATTTACCAGTTCATGCTATTTAACAGGTATTCATTGAGTTATTACAGAAATTAAAGATACAATGGAGAGCAAAAACAAACATAGCTTCTATGAAGTACCTTATTAAAATATTTCACCCCAATATAATATTGTAATGTTAAAAGAGAATTTTGGACATGCTACCAAGAGGGGTTGGGAGTCCTGGTGTGGCGCTGTGGGTTAATGCGCCAGACTGCAAAGCCGTTTCAAACTGCAAGGTCAGTGGTTCAAGCTCACCAGCTGCTCTTCAGAAACCCTATACAGGGTCGCTATGGTTCAGAATTGACTCGATGGTGCTTAACAACAACAACAACCAAGAAGGGCCAGTCCCTAAAGCAGAACATCATGTTTAGTAAAGTATTGTTGTTAAGTGCTGTCCATTTGATTCTGACTTGTATTGACCTTGTATGGGGTTTTCAAGGAGTGGCTGGTGGGTTTGAACCAACTCTGTGGTTCAAACTGACTGTGTGGTCCAGTGCTTATCCTATAGTGCCACACAGGACTCCCTTAGTAAAGTATAGTCTCAGCAAAAAATAAAGAGGAGCCTCTATTAAATGGATTGAAACAGTGGCTACAACGATGGGCTCAAATATAGCAACAGTTGTGAGGATGGTTCAGGACTGTGAAGTGTTTGGTTCTGTTGTAAAAATAAGCTGATAATGAGGATATGAGAAGGAATGGACTCATCCGCACCTACCCACAACAACCGCCACAGTGTAAAACCATTACACTCTAAAATATAAAGCATGGCAGATATCTGGTGTATAATTTATATTGCTGCTGTAATCTATGGCTAATGCAACTTCCTATTGAAGGCTGTTATGACAATTTGATGTAAAAAAAAAAAAAAATCTAAATAACCATTCCCATCATTACAGTGCCATCTGCTGGTATACAAGTGGGGACTGCTCAACTGCCAGTTCAGGATTTTTAATGTAAAGATGAATGTTATTCATTCTTAACTAAAAAATATGATGAATAATGTCTCTTCACGTAAACAAAAAATAAGGAAGATTATGTCTGGTTTTGATTTGTCTACTGAAAAGCTCTTGCTATATAAAACATTCCCTTGTTGTATTCATGGCTTTAAATTGGAACAAAGGACTAGAGTCTAGTAAAGTTAACCTTAATGAATCTGGTTAGTAATGATGGGTGGACATTTACCAACAATAACCAACAAAAACCCGTTGATGTATAGGCAATTATGACTCACTGTGACCCGTGTGGTGCACCATAGAACTGCTCCAGAGTGTTTTCTTGACTGTAATGTTCACAGAAGGAGAGTGCCAGGTCTTTCTTCTGTGGTACCGATGGGTGGGTCCAAATACCAACCTTTAGGTTACTGTTGTTGTTAAATTCTGTCTAGTAGGATGCGACTCATAGCAACCATATATAAGATTTCTGAGGAGCTGCTGGTGAGTTTGAATTGATGACGTTGCAATTCAAATGACCTGTGGTCCAGTGCTTATCCTACAGTGCCTTTAAAATGTTTGCACTACCCAAGGACCTTAAACCAATTGATCTCAAGTCGATTTTGACTCATGGCTATTCCGTGTGTTTCAGAGTAGAACTGGGTTCTACATATGATATTCAATATCTGTGACCATTTGGAAACCAGACATTTCTTTTAAGCTACGTGGATTCAAACAGCCATTTTAGTAGCCAAGCAACTGGGTTGTTATGTTTTGTTTTGTTTTAATTCAACCTGACTCACTCCATTATAACTCTCAACTGAATGTGTGGTTGCATCTATTGCATTCAACCATACATATACATGAATAAAGAGTTCATGTGGTTAAATGCTCAGCTACTAAAAGAAAAGGTCAAACCCACCAGCTGCTCTGTAGGGAAAAGATGTGGAGATCTGTTTTCATAAAGATCTACAGCCTTGGAACCCTTTGGGGCAACTCTATTCTGACCTATGTGACTGCTGTGATTCAGAATTGATTTGAGCGCAATGTGTAGTGGTGATACACAAGAATATATCCTCTTCCAATCACTCTTTATTTACAGTTTCCACATAAAACCATTACCTAATAGAAAGTGATACAGAACTACAGCTCATTCTGAAGGGAGGACATAGAAGAGTAGATCAACAGTGAGTTGGGTTTCAATAAAGGACATTGATCAGCATTGGCAGAGGGAGCCCTGTTGGATAATGGTTGAAAATCATCCATCTAACTTGGCAATAGTAGATCTTGAGTCACTTTGTTTGGAGCAGTTTCAGTGGCATGAGGAGGTGGGTATGGTTGAGTTGGGGAGTTAGGAAGGAGACAATTCAGTGGTCAATTGGAGTCATGAAAATGAAGACAGCAGATAATAAGTGACTTTCAAAAACCTTGCGTAAGAAGAGAAAAGAAGAACTCGAGAGAAGCTGCCACTTACATTTCTGTTCACCATACCATAGTGGCTTGTGAGCAGCTGTGATGCTGGAAGCTACACCAGCAGGGTCACCCATGGTGAACAGGTCTTAGTGGAGCTTCTAGACTGGCAAGAAGGACTTGGTAATCTACTTCTTTAAAAATTGGTCAGTGAATCACTGGGTAACATCTGAGAAAGTGCTAGAAAATGAACCCCTCATGTTGGAAGGCAGTCAAATGTGACTGGAAAAGAGCTGCCTCTGTGAAGTAGTGTCAACCTTAATGACATGGATGGATTCAAACTTTCGCGCCTTCCTTTGCTGATATGGCATGACTCAAAAATGAAACAACTGTAAACATCCATAAGTAATCAGAATGTGGAATTATGAATTTAGGATAATTGGAAGTCATCCAAAGCTAAATGGAATACGTAAAGATCAATGTCCTAGGCATTATTATTGTTTAGTGTGACGGTGAGTCAGTTCTGACTCTTAGTAACCCTGTACAAAGTTTCCAAGGAACAGATAGTGGCAATAGTGAGGTGAAATGTATTGGTATTAGCCATTTTGAATCAAACAATCATATGGTTTACTATGCTGGAATTGATAAATTGAAGAGAAATGGCATCACTGGACAATGAAAAAGGAAGACTGAAGAACTGGTGCATTTGAATTATGGTGCTGGTGGAGAATAGTGAATATACCATAGACTTAAAGGAAAATGAATAAATCTTTCTTGGAAGAAGTACTGAACGGTCCTTAGAAATGAGAATGGCAAGACTTCATGTCACGAACTTTGCATATATGTTATTAGGAGGGACTAGTCCCTGGGAAAGGACATCATGCTTGGTAAAGTAGAGGGTCAGGGAAAAAGACTTTCAAGGAGATAGATTGACACTGGTTGCCACAATGAACTAAAACATAATAATAATTGTGAAGATGGCGTTGGCAATGTTTCATTCTCTTATACATTGTGTTACTGTGAGTTGGAACCAACTGGACAGCACCTAATGACAACAGGGGTCAAGGAAATGAGTCAATTAAGATTTCAGAGCCTTGAAGGCATTAATAAATGGAAAAAAAAGAACTAATGGGAAGAATAAGATGACGATACAAAAGAAAGGGGTGATTGATGGAATAAGACCCTAGAGAAGACAGAAGGAGGTATTAGGAGCACAGGGCAGCAGACTGATGTGAGATGAGACAGAGGGAAAGAGACAGGAGGTTCAATGCAGAGAGATGTGTCAGTGGAAATGAGAATTTCAGGGGACTGTTATTCAATTACCTCTTGGCAATAATCTAAAACAGAGAGGAATAAAATGACTTACTCAAGTTTTGTCTCTATATAGTGACACAGTCACTGAACATAGGGCCATTCCAGCCCTGGTCTATTCCTGTACTATTATGCTCATAAAACCACATCCTCCCACTCTGCAAATGAAGGGCCTCTACCATCAAACTTCCATTCTAAGTTGAGCATCCCTAATTGTGTGGGTTCTACTTGATGCAGGTGTAGGTCAGTGACTCATATATTGCTTGTTGTTGTTGTTGAGTCAGTTCCAAATCATAACTACCTTGTATAGGGTTTCAGATGAGTGGCTGGTGGGTTTGAACCACTGACTTTGTGGTTAGTAGTAGCGTAGTGGTTACAAATCAGACTGCGAACCTCGAAGTCAGCAGTTCGAAATTACCAGCTGTTCCATGGGAGAAAGATGAGGCTTTCTGCTCCCTTAAGGATTTACAGCCTCGGAAACCCTGTACAGGGTCACTATGAGTCGGAACCGACTGCGCGGCACACAACAACAACAGTCCAGTGTTGATCCTACAGTGCCACATATATTGCTTAGCATCTATCTTAAATAATCAACTCAGGGATTTTGTGTTAGTATGAGTCAAGTCTGTCCATTTATAAATGTTCATTGGGAAAACATGATTTATGTAACAGATTTTAAATGCTTTCAGGCCACCCATTTTCAGTAGCTGTGTTTGAGGATTATGTGTGGTTCTCTGATTGGACTGTGCCATCTGTAATAAGGGTGAACAAGAGGACTGGCCGAAACAGGGTACATCTCCGAGGCAGCATGCTAAAGCCATCATCACTGGTTGTGGTTCATCCATTGGCAAAACCAGGTACGCTGCACATGTGACAATCGTTCTTTGACTGGTATCTGTGACTATTTTCATTGGTTATTGATACAGAAGGAGGGAGAGTTTGCAATTTTGTTTAACCTAGGGCAATGTGGCTAGGCTTCGTCTCTCATACTTTGGACATATTGTCCGGAGAGAACAGTCGCTAGAGAAGGATGTCATGCTGGGTAAGATGGAGAGTCAGAGAAAAAGAGGACGACCCCCAACGAGATGGATCAGCCAGGTGACATCATTGATGGCGTCAAGTGTGGCGGCGGTAGTGAGGTTGGCCCAGGATCGGACATTGTTTCGTTCTGCTGTGCATGGGGTTGCTATGAGTCGGTTCTGACTCGATGGCACCTGACAACAAGAGGGCAATGTTAAAATTTCCTGAAATTTGGGCTTCATTTAAGCTAACCTGGTAGAGATTAAATAGTATCATTTCTTAGTGAATGTTAGTGTTATTGCCTCCATTTTATCTTTTCTTCACTCTTCATAAACAGCTCCTAAACAGCTTACTTACCTGTTACATCTTCAAAGACCCTGAGGTTAAAGGCACGAAGGTAATCAGTTTAGATATCTTCTACCCACACTTGGTTCTTTCCCCACACACTGAGAGCACAGATGAGTGAGTGGCAGCCAGGAGTAAGCAAATGGAAGTCTATGAGTCCTACCGGCTCTTCTGACTGAATTGTTCTTCTTCACTTTGTTTAGATTATGAGTCGGGTAATAAGAACCAAATCTGCCTAAAGAGCTTCTTGTACAAAATGCTATACTCAATAAATACTCATAAGGTAATAGCATGTTAAGTCAGTGACTCCTTATGGGAGTCCTTCTGAAACAGCTTTTGTTATGAGATCCCTTCAGTATGACTGTGATTTATTTGCATTAATAACATCCTTTTCATCTCCTAGCACATCTGCAAATTTGCTGTTATTTTCCCACTAGGAGCAGATCCCTGTTTACACCAAAATGGAGGCTGTGAACATATTTGCGAAGAGAAGTTTGGAATTGCTCAGTGTTCATGTCGTGAAGGTTTTATAAAAGCCTCAGATGGGAAAATGTGTCTGACACTGAATGGTCTTCAGGAAACAGCAGGTAGTGTGATAAATTTATACAGTTGAGTGATCTTCCCTTGGCTTAGGAACAGAGTTCTACACCCATGTCTATGCTTTTTCTGAGTTTTAATTAATGTTTTTAAAAGCTCCCCTGCTTTTAGGGATGCTAAGGGCTTTATTTCGTTCTTTCTTTTCTGGTGTGTTTTGGGTTTCTTACTGAAGATTTAAGTCAATTGACTTCCTCTGATTTTAAAATTGGAGTCCTGGTGTGGCACTGTGGGCTAAGCACTGAACTTCAAGGTCAGCAGTTCAAACTCGCCAGCTGCTCCTTGGAAACCCTACACAGGGTCACTGTGGGTTGGAACCAGCTTGACACATTTAGCAATTGTAAAATTAGTGGATCAAATAATCTTAAAGTACAAGCTCCCAAACCCCAAAAATATTTACAGTGGAGCAGTCCAGGCTTGGAAATCAGTGCCAGCATCTTACCACCCCACACCTAAAAATAAGAGATACATTATCTCTAAAGACAGAAATAACAATCCTGTTTCCTTGGGTGTTGCAATGGTTAAGCAGCTAAGGGAAAGGTTGGAGGTTGGAGTTCTCTCAGATATGCTTCAGAAGAAAGGTCTGGTGACTCACTTCCAAATCAGCCATTGAAACCCTAAGCACAGTTTTACTCTGACACACACACGGGGTTGCCATGAGTTGGAATTCACTCAATGGTAAGTAGTTTTGGTTAACATACAATCCTTTTGCCCAATACGACTGGTCTCAATATTAAAAACTGAGTCCTTTTTGAGTAAAAAAAAAAAGCTTTAAAATACTAAACAAGTGTGAGAATGCAATCAGAGGAGGCTTGTGATGCACTTTTTACAGAATAAATATGGTTTTAAGAAAGAGTATGATTAGACAAGGTGATGGTAATTTAAGAAACTACCCCTTACTGTGAACCGCAGGGTCAGCAGTTCGAAACTGCTAGCTGTTCCATGGGAGAAAGATGAGGCTTCAACTCCAGTAAAGATTTATAACCTCAGAAACCCTGTACAGGGTCGCTATGAGTCAGAACTGACTCCACGGCACATAACACCTCCCCCAAACCCCACCATCACTTACTGTGTTCTGGTATAACATCCAGTAAGAATATCTATGAAAAGCATCAGAAAGGTCCTCCTGCTTCCAACTGCATGTCATGGAGAGGCTAGCTAGTCACTTGAATATGATTGTCTTAATAATTATACATTCTGTAATTCCTTTTTTTTTTAAGTTTTTATTGTGAATTGAGTGAAAGTTTACAGGGCAGAGCATCAGTTTTACATTCAACAAATCACATACTTTGTTTCATTACAATGATTATAATATGCCCGCCCCCCCAAGTACCATCATTTAACAGTATTTCTCACTATTCATTTTAGCTCTTTTTTTAACACTCAGGCATATATAATAATTTATACCACCGAAAGGCACATTCTGCAAGTCTGCCTCCTGATTGCCAGCTCTCATTCCTTCTCTTCCCATGAATCTAGAGTCCTCAGCTGTTGAATTCATTTTTTTTAATACATCAAAGAGAATTTAAATTTTATCTTTTTTTTTTTTTTTTAAACTCATACTTATCTGGTAGGCATGGCTAGGTGGCAGAATGATGGCAAATAAATAAATTGACCTACTTATAAGCCAGAAGTAGATATATTAGATTTTCAGGACTTTCTATTCATTGTTGCCTTAGGGTAATTATTCTCAAGCTTTTTGGTTGCAGGAATCTTTTCCATTCTTAAAAATTCCTGAAACCCCCAAAGAGCCTATGTTTACATACTTTTATCTATGAATATTTACAGCATAAGAAATCAACACAAAACAACTAATTCTGTTTATTAAGCCTTCTATCTATTAAGATCATATATTTTATTAAAATATCTGAAATAACTGTATTTTTCCATGAAATAGGTAGTGGCATGGCATTGTTTTACATTTATATCTTTAATAGCGGTCTTAGTAAGACAGCTGGAGTCTCATATCTGCTTTTACATTAAGCCTGTAGTATGTGTTGTTTTGGTTAAAATATATGAAGAAAATCTGACCTTACAATGATATGTAGTTGGAAGAAGAGGACTATTTAACAGCCTTTTCAGAGTCCTTTTTATAGATGCCAGAACTCAACAAGTGGTAGTTTCTTTAGATGTTAGTTGCAAAGTAAAATAATCTTTTAACACATCAGTAAATTTTTTGGTTTCTGTGACATTAAAACCCATTGGTGTATTTTCTACTTTGTGAGAAAATTTTGTGTGCATGCAAATTTTGTGACATCTTGCTTTGATCATTTGACAATATTGCTTGACAGAGTTATAAAGATTTTCCAAATGTCACATTAATATATAAGAAATTACATTAATTTATTATCACCATCAAACTCATCAGGACAACCTTTAAATGTTAGAAAGCTTCAAGCTCATGGCAATGGAACCAATTTTTCCAAAATTCTACTTTTTATTTGAAAGCACAAATTTTATTTTTGACAACTGCTTTCCCCAAAATGACAGGTATCATTGGTTCATTTTTGAGAAAATGCCAAACACCCAGGTCTTAATAACACAATCTGTGAGTCAGTGGTTCTTTTAGGAATAAAATTATGTTCCATGATAAAAGAAGGTAGTTTTCAGCCCAAACGTTGCACAAATGATTTTCCTTCACAGAAGTATCACAGCTAAAGTATGTCCTGAAAGTATTTTATTACACAAACTATTAAAAAGCTGCATATTTGATGGCAGAATATTAATCAGTTTTACTACTTTCTCGTGGGTCTTCTTAAGGGGCAATGCTTTGTTTTTGTTTTTAAAATTAAATGTCTGTGTTGTGATGAGCAACATAATTATTGGTAGAATTTGGTGTGACTGTCTTGATTTATACTGAAGCACCAGAGGGTTTCCAAGTCACTCCTTGGAAACCCTATATAGGGTTTGAAACTGACTTAATGGCATTTAACAATGATAACAGCAACAACATGGACTCCATGCAGTGAGATCCTCCACATTTAGAAAACTGCTGCTTTGGAGAATCTATTTCTATTCTGTTCTTGAGGGATGATGGCATATGCCCTTCCACAGTTTTAAATACAGATTAAAATATGTATCAGGATCAGCCTTAAAACAAGTATGTATATGGAAGGCAGGTTGGGGCAGTCACTCACTATATGTCCTTTGTAATAGTGGGATGTGCTTATGAATCATGTTTATAAGGACTTTTGGCATTTTACTCCTAATGTATTTTTTGTTTTGCTGATACTTGAAAAAGTCATATCTTTCTTTACATTTGGCTTATTCCTAACTACCAAGTGCAGTGGTGAAGCTGGAAGAATGTGCTAAGTTTCCAAGATTCAGCCTGTTACCCTGAATCCTCTTCCTATAAGAATGAGTCTGGATTTACAACAATATCCAGAAATGTAAATTAAATATTACTTTCTCTAGAGCCAAAGACATAAATTAATTGCATCTGTTGACCTTCAACAGGCAGTGAAGCAGATCTAAGCAATCAAGTAGCACCACTGGGTACCTTATCCACAAGTCAAAGCCTTGAAGAAAGCAGTGCAGAAGACTTGCAGTCTCAGCACCAACTAGTGGCTGAAATCCTGGTGTCAGGTATGAAAATGAGTTCTACCACACAGCTTTGGTTTTCCAACAGTTTTCATCCTACTAATTAGAAATTCTGAATTCCCTAACAATGTTGACCAAATCTATACAAAGAGTCTTAGAGTGGTGCTGTGGGATAAAGCACAAGGTCACAAGGTCAGTTTGAACTCACCAGCCTCTCCTTGTAAACCCTACACAGGGTCGCTATGAATTGGAACCAACTCCACAGCACTTAACAACAACAAAGCTATACAAGACTAATGACACCAAGCCTTGGGGAAGTCCTCCTGTTCTAACCGGTGTGCTTGAGAAAGATGACGCTCTATCAGACTGGGCATGAACTTTACTTGTAGAGAGTCTTTGGACTAAATATTCTTTTAAGAAATACAACTTGGAAACAGAGGCGAAGAATAGGACAGAATAGATTTGATTGTATCTCTACCCACACTTAGATTTTCTGAAGGGGACATTGGAGTTGTCTTTCCACTGGCATGAGAAATACATAGTAATTAATAAACAAATATAGATTGTTTCAACTGCAACATGAAGTCCACAAAAAGTAAATGCTACAATTATTTTCTTCTATGTTGCACATTTAAACACCAAAATGCCATATAATTTGTTCATTGCATAGCAACTTGGAAGAAGAACCTCAGACTTTTATGTTCTATATTCACTCTGGAGTACTGGTATGGTGCCGTGGGTTAATGTGCCAGACTGTAAAGCCATTTGAATTGCAAAGTTGGTGGTTCAAGCTCACCAGCTGCTCCTCGGAAACCCTATACAGGGTCGCTATGGGTCAGAGCTGACTCGACGGCACTTAACAACAAAAATAATTCACTCATGAAGCTAATGATTTATTTTCAAACAGAGCTTACCTTAATCCTAGGGCTCCTGCAAGCCCAAACCCTCCTTTACTTTAGGTTATTGTCCTTCAATCAGTACAACTCTACTTGTTGTTGTTAAGTGCCATCGAGTCAGTTCCGACCCATAGCTACACTGTACAGGGTTTCCGAGGGAAATTTTTTGAATATGATTTTATGACTTATCTGTGGCTTTAAAAAGTTAGAAAATTCCACATTGGGATGTTGAATACATTAAAGAAGGGCTCATTCAATGTTTGTGGTTTGTTGACTATTTCACTGATGTTAGAGACCCTGTTGACCTTTTACTGTACTTAATAAGAACTTATCAGTGTGAGGTTTGATAAGGTGTAAAAGAAGAGGTGTGTGTTTTTACTACTCTGTTTCCAAGTTATATTTCTTAAGAGAATATTTAGTCCAAAGACTCTCAACATTGACATGGAACTTTAGAGTGCACCAAGTCTTTTAAGTATAGCCCCTAATTGGGTCCTTATCATAACTGTCATCTTGCAGTTATGAAAACTGGGACTAAGATATAATGTTAATAACTTGACCAATTTTATTTGAAATAGTGAGTAAATACTTAATTCATGCCAAGATAAGAATTAATGGATGGCATTATCCCATAGGACTATGATATATTTAGGCACAATGGTTAAGTGCTTGATTGTTAATCAAAAGGCCAGCAGCTCAAACCCAGTAGCTGCTCCGCGGCAGAAAGATTTGACAGTTTGTCTCCCTAAAGATTGCTGTTGGTGTTAAGTGTTGTTGAGTCAGTTCCAACTCATAGTGACCCTAAATAGGGTTTCTGAGAAGTGGATGCTGGTTTTGAACTTTGGACTTTGCATTTAGCAGTCCAGTGGTTAACCTACAAGCACTACATCAGCACTCACCCTAAAGATTTCAGCTTTGGAAATCCTATGGGGCAATTCTACTCTATCCTATAGAATTGCTCTGAGTTGGAATTGCCTCAGTAACAATTGGTTTTGGTTTGGGACTGAGGGCTAGGGGTTCTGAAATGAGTTAGATATGCGTACAGTTCCAACTGGCATTTAACAACAATACAGTTCCCATCCCCAAGGTTGCAGTCTAATGTGGAGACAATATGTTGGAATAAAACAGCATGTTTTCAAAGTCATTAGGGACCATAGAAATTCAAAGAGCATATTTTGAAAAGTAATCCTTTGGGGAAATTACAGACCAAAATAAATGACAGATAGGGAGAATGATGAAATGACCAAGTCCTTAAGAAAGTCATGTAAGTAAGTTGGGCAAACTTGTATCCTTATTTTAGGCAAGAGCAAGTTTGTTGTGACAGAAAGAACTTTGGCATAGATAGTCCTTCATACAATTATATATGTTATCACCATTGCTTTTCCTTAAGCAAAGTTGTCTTGGGGTTTGCAAGTTACTGAATAAATCCTGAATCATAGTCTAAATATGAAACAAGCGATTTAAAATGTCTCAGGTTATTTGATACTATCCACCATACATTCTGAGCAGGCTTGTGATTTGGGAGCTAGTCTCCCATATGAATGCCAAATCTAATGGATAACTGAATCAGTCAGAACATCTCCATCTTTGAGAGCTGTAAGCAACAGGAGCTGATCAAGCAAGCATGAAAAGCATGCTCCCACAAAAGAAATCTTGCCCAAGCAGCTAAGCAAATGAAATGCACTTACCGGATGTCTGCATTAACATGGCAATGGAATCCTGCTCAGATCATTTAACTTTCTTTAATTTATGGGTGAGCCTGCAGGGTTTCTTTCACCTGTTCGATGAAGAGCTCTGGTAGTGTAAGTGGTTACAAGTCAGGCTGCTAACCTCAAGGTCAGCAGTTTGAAACTACCAGCTGTTCCATGGGAGAAAGATGAGGCTTTCTGCTCTGGTAAATATTTATAGCCTCGGAAACCCTATGCAGGGTCGCTATGAGTTGGAACTGACTCCATGGCACACCACCACCACCATATTTAGATGAACCAAAAAGTTGGTTTGAACCACAAGGTTTACAGCTCAAACTCATCAGCCAGTCCTTGGAAACCCTCTACAGGATTGCTATGTGTTGGAACCGACTTAACAGCACTCAACAACAACACATTTAGATGAGCAAACTTACAGATGCTAATTTAGCATCCTAACAGAGACCCCTAACTGCAAAAAATAGTGGGCATGATTATAGAATGAATTTGTTGCTGTTAGGTGCCTTCAAGTCACTTCTGATTCATAGTGACTCTACATGCAACAAAACAAAACACATCTAGTCACTTCTGATTCATAATGACTCTGCATGCAACAAAACAAAACACATCTAGTCCTGTGCTATCCTCACAATCCTTGCTATGTTCGAGCTCATCATTGCAGGCACAGTGTCAATCCATCTCACTGAGGGCCTTCCTCTGTTTAACTAACTCTACCCAGCATGATACCCTTCTCCAGGGACTGGTCCCTCCTGATAACATGTCCGTGAATATAAATACATGAGATGATGTTGTACTTCTAAAGGGCATTCTGGCTGAACTTTTTCCAACATAGATTTGTTTGTTCTTCTAACAGTCCATGGGATATTCAATATTCTTCAGCAAGCTCATAACTCAAAGGCATCAATTTTTCTTTGGTCTTCCTTGTTCATTTTCCAACTTTTACATGCATATGAAGTCAATAGAAATACTATGGTTTGGGTGAGGCGTAGCTTAGTCCTCAAGGTGATGTCTTTGCTTTATAACGCTTTAAAAAAGGTCTTTTGCATTAGATTTCCCCAATGCAGTACATCATTTGACTTCTTGACTGCTGCTTCTATGGACATTGATTGTGGATCCAAATAAAATTAAATCCTTAACCACTTCAATGTGTTTTCCATTTACCATGATGTTACTTACTGGTCCACTTGTGAGGATTTTTGTTTTCTTTATGTTAATGTATAATCCACAATGAAGGCTGTAGTCCTTGATATTCATCAGCAAGTGTTTCAAGTCCTTTTCACTTTCAGCAAGCAAGTCTGCATCATCTGCATCCAAGGTTGTTAATGAGACTTCCTCCGATCCTAATACTATGGTCTCCTTCATAGAGCCCAAGCTTCTCAAATTCTCTGCTCAGCATGCAGATTGAATAAGTGTGGTGCAAGCATGTAACCCTGATGCAGACTTTTCCTGATTTTAAACCACACAGTACCCTCTTGTTCAGTTGGAATGACTGTTTATTGATATATATACAAGTTACTCATGAGCATAATTAAGTGTTCTGCAATTCCCATTATTCACATTATCTGTAATTTGTTGTGGAGCATGTTATGGAACACCATGGCAAAAAGATTCAATCATAAAAAACTTTTACTCTCAACTTACTAAAATCATGTTTCATAGATGATCAAATATGCATGTCACAATGCAAGTTTATTATCAAGATTTATGCAGTGACTTGCAAACCCTAAGGCACTTTTACAAAGTCATGAACCATACAAACTAAATGCAGTAAATGGATCATTTCATTTCATACTCCATTGACATGCAAATGCCCTAGGGGACAGAGTAACATGTTGAATCATAAACATAGCAAGTTGGTTCTTTTGTTATTTTTATTTTTACTGTAACAATTTATTTCTAGTGAAATAAGTAGTTAATAGCAAAAAAATTTTTTTTAATTCACACAAAAAAGAACCTTGCCTGTGTTTATGACTCAACATGTAACTCTGTCCCCTGGGCATTTTGTGTTTCAATTGGAGTCTGAAATAAATGACCTATTTACTGCATTTAGTTTATTTAGTTTGTCTGGTTCATGACTTTGTAAAAGTGCTTTAGGTTTGTAAGTCACTGTATAAATCTTGATAATAAACGTGCACCACGACATATATATTTTATTATCTATAAAGCATGATTTTAGTAAATTGACAGTAAAAGTTTTTATGATTGAATCTTTTTGCCATGTTGCTACACAAATTGACTTGCTATATATTGGTCTTTGTGATTTTGTGTACTAAGTAAGAATATATTGATCCTGGAAATAACCAAGCACCTCAAGGGAACAAATCACTGGGTCTAGGGACTCAGGGTCATAGTCTTGGAGGAGGTCAAGGTCAATTGATGTAACAAAGTCTACAAAGACATTGTTCTACATCCTACTTTGGTGAGTAGCAACTGAGGTCTTAAAAAAATGGTGAGTGGCCATCTAAGGTGCAACAATTTAGCTCTTCTTTTGTGGAGAAGAGTGAAGAAAATCAAAGATGCATAGAAACAATGGTCCAATGTACTAATGGACCACCCAACCATCAATTTCCATTGCCCTGAGACCAGAAGAACTAGATGGTGTCAAGCTACCACTATCAACTGCTCTGACAAGGAATGATATTAGAAGGTCTTAGATAAAATGAGAGAAAAATGTGAAATGAAGTTCAAAATCATGAAAAAAGATCATGTTTCCTGGTCAGATAAAGATAGCTGGGACCCCTAATATAATGGCCTTTAGTTACTCTTCTAAGGAGCTCTGGTAGCGTAGTGGTTACGAATCGGGCTGCTAACCTCAGGTCAGCAGTTCGAAACTACGACTGCTGTTCTGCTCCTGTAAAGAATTACAGCCTCAGAAACCCTGTACAGGGTCGCTATGAGTCGGAACTGACTCAACGGCACATAACAACAGTCTCTCTTTTGGTCTGGCATGATCTCATCCCCTTGGCTCAATTTTAAGTCAAATAATTTTGCAGTTGATAAGTGCTGTCAAGTCACTTCCGACTGATAGCAGCCCTGATAGGGTTTCTGAGGAACAGCTGGTGGGTGAGACCTGCCCACCTTATCGTTCACAGTCCAGAGCTGATCCTATAGTTCCATACCAGGAGTCCATAGACAGGTCTATAAGGGGAACAAAAGCACGAGTGAGGTGTGTACGCCTTTGAGATAGAATGGGTGGCATGTACTTAAGGACAAAGTTCCAAACAGTTTGTAAAGAAGGAGGAATGTAAATAGGAAGCACAGAGAGGAAATGGGATAAGTGATGCTACATTGTATGGATTGCGATCAATAAGATGAAACAAATTGTATATGAATTATTGACTGGAAAGCTGATCTGCTCAGTAAACCTTCACCCAATTCACAATACAAAGGTTTAAAAGAATCTCCTAGAAAAATAATATAATGACCCCTCTGTATGTAATTAATAATTGGAAATGTTCAAATAATAAAACCTTTTGAAATTTATGTCCTATATATGCCTAGCAATTTTATAGTTCAAACTTGCAAATTTTTCCAAAAAAACCCCAAAAAACTTATAAGAACACACAGAGCTCCTTGAACACCAAATAGTTCTTTAAGACTATTTTGAGAGTATGTTTGTTGAGAGTGTAAATGGTGTGAAAACATGCCTTATGCATTCTTTAAATATAGCTTCTTCTTGTGAATTGCCATTGAGTCAGCTTTGCATTATGGTGACTTTGTATATAGCAGAATGTGCTGTGCCGTCTCTATGTGATCGTTGGTATCTTAGAGTCCACTGTTGAGTCCTACACATCAATACAATGTTTCTATTTGGAGGCTAATGTGGGCAGAACTTGGGAAAGAGATTGCTGGAATGTTCTGCAGAAGTCCATTGAAGTCCATTTTCTCCTGTGAGGTCTATAAATAATCTGATGGGACTCTCACTGTTTGCAGATGAAGACGACTGTGCTCCCATGAAATGTGGCACAAACGCTTGGTGTGTTTCAGAAGGAGACAACGCCACATGTCAATGTTTGGAAGGATTTGCTGGTGATGGAAAGCTTTGTTCTGGTAATAGCAAAGGCCAAGCCTAGATAATATCTGAAAAATAGTGAGTCAGTAGCATTCTGAAATATCAAATATTTAGAAGGATTGATGTAATCAGCAAGTCTGAATATGTTATTTGATGCTAGCTAAGAAGTTTGTGAATGACATATACTATTGGCTTACACTGAGCTTAACTTAAAATTCTACTGTATATGCTTTTGACATTCAGGGGAAAGTTTATAAATAGCTTCAGAAACACAAATTTGAGTTCAAGTGAAATTTATAAATTTACTGATTCCAATAAAAAAACAACCCTCCTCCTCCCCAGACCCCAGACACTTAAGTTTTAGTCAGATAAATAGGTTATGATGGATAGGTTTTTATTTTGCATTGATACTCTCAAAATTATATTAGTGATTACTGAGGGAAAAAATCATAGTCCTTATGGTCTGAAAGTCTGTCACAGAGTAATTTATTTACATATACTTAGCTAATCAGCCTTGAGTAAAAAATAATAATTGATTCCAAATCCAAGATTCAGGGTTTGTATTCCATTTTCCAATAATAAGCACAAATGCCTGAATGGTTGAGTATAAGATTGTGCTTGTTCCTTCCTTCTATTCCCATTTAGGACATCTGTTGGTACAGTGAGTTAAGCATTGTGGTAATAACCTAAAGATTGCTGGTTTGAACCTACCAGCCCCTGCATGGGAGAGAGAGATGGCAGTCTGCTTCCCTAAAAATGTGTAGCCTGGGAAACTCTAGGCAATGCACTTTTCTGTTTATAGGGCCACTACGAATCAGAATCTAATTGAGGGTAGTGGGTTTAGTTTGTTTTGGTGGTGGTTCCTGTTTCTACCAGGATTGCCTATTGATTATTTCTGTTTCTACCAGGATTGCCTATATATTTCACTAGCTTCTAATTTCACCTGCAGATATAGATGAATGTGAGAAGGACACCACCATTTGCCCCGCAGCCTCATCCCAGTGCATCAATACTGAAGGTGGCTTTGTCTGCAGATGCCTTGAAGGCTACCGAGGAGATGGAGTTCAATGTCTTGGTAAGAGAGTAGTAGGCGGGGAAGGGCAGAGTCAGGCCTCAGAAAGTCATGAAGCCAAGCGAAGACACATAAATCAAGACTAGAGGAGAAATTGTGCAACCAGTTCAAACAGACATATTTCAATTCTTGTCAAGTAGTCAAATTTATGCCTGTGTGTTCTGATGAGTCAACTCATTGGCTATTGGTTTGGTGCTTTGGTTTGTGCTATGACTGTAGTCTGGAGCCTTGGGGTCCTAGTGTGGCACTGTAGGATAAGCACTGGACCACAAGGTTATTTAAACCTCAATGTTGGTGATTCTAACCCACCAGCCACACCTCAAAAACCCTATACAGGGTCGCTATGAGTTGGAACCAACTGACAGCACTTAACAACATGACCATACAGCAGCTCCTTAGCCCTCTGCCTTGCTAATCCCTTCACTGGCATTTGAGTGACAACAGTGCTTCATCAATACTCCATATCTTGATCCATGGGATGAGGGAGCAGGGGAGATTACTTAACATTGTTATTGAACTTGGTGATTGAACTGTGGTGAACTGCAGAGCTGGTGGAAGTGTGCTGGCCATCACTGCTGTGTGCAAAAAGGAAGGGTCATCAGGTGACTCCTGATAAATTGAATAGATGGGAGATTCAAGCCACTGACATTTGGATGTAAATAAAGACTGATTAAAATCTCTTCCATAATTACCATCCTCTGCCAAGGTCTGGGTGTGGCTCTTCACTTTGTGATGTCTTCAGCCTTGTGTAGCATCACCATGCAAGTGAGGGCCTGCCTGCCTGCTGTTACCAGGGGCTCACTAACGTAGTTGCCTGGAGTTTTACAGAACTTTCAAGTTGTTCTTTTAGTATTGTGTTTGGTTTTTCTTTTTCTTTTTATACATAAAAATCTTTTTATAATCACTGGCCCCAATAAGAAGCAAAATGGCACTGCTCTCCCTCACATGTTAAGGTTAAAACGGAAACATCTACCAATATCTAAAGTTCAATAACTGCCAATGTTCTGGATTTAGTTGGTTTTGATCAGCCTTTACCAGATTCATTTTCTGGGAGTCCTGGTGTGGTACTGTGGGTTAATGAGTCAGACTGCAAAGCTGAACTGCAAGGTCGGCGGTTCAAGCTCACCAGCTACTCCACGGAAACTCTATACAGGGTCGCTATGGGTCGGAATTGACTCTATGGCACTTAACAACAACAGACATATAAATGCTTCTGTAAGCATAGACTTTGCTATCAGTCAGGACAATGTCATGGCTTTTATATTTAGGCAAACAGACTTTATGTTTTATTTGCATTGAACAGAAAGAAGGGTATCCTTTCTTGATGTTTAAATTCTTTAGACACTAGATTCTCACTCTTACTAACCCATCTCTTTCTAGTAGTGAACATGGAACATGGAATCATGGCCCTGCTGGTCTACCTGCTTGGCAGGTCTTATAGAAGCAGTGGGTTTGTTCCTGCTAGGGCATGCTTTCACTGTCTCTGACAGTTCAATGAGATTGTAACAAGAAATCAGTTTAAAAAGAAAGAAAGTCAATTTGGGTCTGTCTTAGGCCAGGTTCTCTCTCTCTCTCTTTCTCTCTCTCTCTCTCTCTCTCTCTCTCTCTCTCTCTCTCTCTCTCTCTCTCTCTCTCTCTCTCTCTCTCTCTCTCTATATATATATATATAAAGAGAAGCTCATTATCTTCCAACTGTAGAGTTTCAGGTCCCCAGTGGAAAGAGAATCAGAGGCTCTGCTGTGTGTTCATTATATTGGAAGCAAATCACACCCCCCAAGGAGGCATCCCTTTAACTGATTGGCTGTTCACAGCTGCTCATCATAGAGTTAACTACACCTGTATAAGGTTTCATCACCATTGGTATAAGCACACCCCAACTGCTAAACCTCTGGAAATTGTGGCCTAGTCTAATTGGCACAGAATCCTAACCATTACAGGGTCCTTTAAGTAACAATTTGGTGTCACAAATATTTCATTGGCCCCATCAGGTATACTGGTGGCACTGTGGGTTAGGCACTGGGCTGCTAACTTCAAGGTTGGTGGTTCAAACTCACCAGCTACTTTTTATGGGAAAAATAGGAGGCTGTCTGTTCCCATAAAGATTTATAATCCTAGAAAGCCTATATAGGGCCACTGTGAGTCAGAATTGACTCCATGGCAGTAGGCAACAGGTGCAAAGCAAGTCAATTATTAGGTATTAAAAACCACAAAGAATGCCAAGATGATGAAGGCAGTCTTTGCTTATGAGGAGCATATGATCTAAAATTAATGCAGCCATTACAAAGACAGGTACTTCTGACAAGAGAAGTAAAAACCACAGTGGAAGTTCATAACATGAAGCAATTGTATCTGGTCATTTAAGGTGGACTCTGGGGGCTGAGTAAATGTTCATTAGGCAGAAATGTGAAGGGGTGGAGAGCATTCCAGGCATGAACTAATCACAGGTCTTATCTGGAAGGTAGAGAGCATCCCAGTGAACATGAAGTGTAGACTATAAGAGAAGGCATAGTCAAGACTGAGTCTGGTAAGGTGGGTGACACTGGGAACTAAGCAAGATCAGCAATTTAAACCCACCAGCAGCTCTGTGGAAGAAAGATGAGGCTTTCTGTTCCAGGAAAGATTTATAGTCTCCAAAATCCTATATCAGTTGTTGTTGTTGTCAGGTGCCATCGAGTCAGAACCGACTCATAGCGACCCCATGCACAGCAGAACAAAACAATGTCCGATCCTGGGCCAACCTCACTACCGCTGCCACACTTGACGCCATCAATGATGCCACCTGACTGATCCATCTCGTTGGGGGTCTTCCTCTTTTTCTCTGACCCTCCACCTTACCCAACATGACATCCTTCTCCAGCGACTGTTGTCTCCAGACAATGTGTCCAAAGTAGGAGAGATGAAGCTTAGCCATCTTGGCCTCCAAGGAGCACTCTGGTTGTACTTCTTCCAAAACAGATCTATTGGTTCTTTTGGCAGTCCACGGCACTTTCAGTATTCTCCGCCAACACCACAACTCAAAGGCATCAGGTTACTATGCGTTCAAAATCAACTGGATAGCAGTGGGAGGTTAGGTTAGTTTGTGGAAGACTAGAATCCTAGGGTGAGTCATTGAGACTTTAATTCTCTAGGTCACTGCTATCCAATACAAATACAAGTAACATGAGAAAAATTTTAATTTTCAACTAGCTACATTGCAAACAAAAATAACTAGGTGAAATTAATTTTAATAGTATATTATATTTATTTCATTTAAAAAACATATGGTATATCCAAATATTAACATTTTAATAAGTAATCAATTGAATATATTAATGAAATATTTTGCAAAAGCTTTTGACTGTGTGGGTCATGACAAACTATGGATAACAAAGAATGAGTATTCCAGAACACTTAAATGTGCACATGAGGAACTGGTATATAGATCAAAAGGCAATTGTTTGACTAGAACAATGGAATACTGAATGCTTTAAAATTAGGAAAGGTGTGTGCTAGGGTTGTATTCTTTCACCATACTTATTTAATCTGTATGCTGAGCAAATAATCCAAGAAGCTGGATTATATGAGGAAAAGGGTGACATTAGGATTAGAGGAAGATTCATTAACAACCTGCTATATACAGATGATATATATATAAGCAAGTAACCTTGCTTACTGGAAGTGAAGAAGACTTAAAATACTTACTGATGAAGATCAAAGATCACCACCTTCCGTATGGATTGGAGCTCAGTGTACAGAATACTAAAATACTAACCATTAGACCAATGAATAGCATCATGATAAATGGAGAAAAGACTGACCTTGTCAAAGATTTCATTTTGCTTGAATCCACCATCAACACTCAAGGAAGCCGTAGACAATAAATGAAACAATATATTGCATTAGGCAAATCTACTGCACAAGACCTCTTTAAAGTGTTCAAGAGCAAAGATTTCAGTTTGAGGATTATGTTGTGCCTGGCCCAAGCCATGATATTTTCAATTAGCCTCAAATGTATGCGAAAGTTGGACAATGAATAAAGAAGACCATAGCAGAATCAATGCATTTGAGTTATGGTGTTGTTGTTGTTGTTGTTAAGTGCCTTTGAATCGGTTTCGACCCATAGCGACCCTGTACAGGGTTTCCGAGGGTGTAAATCTTTACTGGAGTAGAAAGCCTCATCTTTCTCCCGCGGAGCGGCTGGTAGTTTCAAACCGCTGACCTTAAGGTTCGCAGCCCGATTCGTAACCACTATGCTACCAGAGCTCCTTAAGTTATGGTGTAGAAGAAGAATATTAAAACTACCATGGACTGCCAGAAGAAATAATAAATCTGCGTTGAAAGACATAACTGCCAGAATGCTCCTAAGAAGTCAGCATGGTGAGATTTCATCTCTCATACTTCAGACATGGCATCAGGATGGACCAGTCCCTGGAGAAGAACATCATTCTCAGTAAAATGGAGCGTCAGTGAAAAAGAGGAAAACCTTCATCGAGATGGATTAACACAGTGGGAGCAGCAATGTAATAATTTTATTATATAATAATAATCATTGTGAGGAAGGTGCAGGACTGGGCAGTGTTTTGTTCTGTTGTGTCTATGGGAGCTAACAACAACAACAGTTCAGTATAGCCTCATTTAAACTTTATTATATCTGCAAAGACACTATTTTCCAATAAGATCACATCCACATATTCTGGAGTTTAGAATTTGAAATTACCTTTTTGGAGGACATAATTCAACCTACTGAAGGTACTTGATCTTCAGTACCTGATGTACATTTCACACTTACAGTACATCTCAGTTCAGATTAAAATCAGGTGCTAATACTCACAGCTGATTTGCCATTTTGGACACAACAGCTCTAGGCAAAGGTGTGTCACTCAAGTATCTCCAATTGTGTAATGATGGACATGTGGCTTAGAAGATTAGTCTGGTACTGGTGTCTGGGAGTCGAGTACGGGACAGATGGGATGTGGGGAATCTATCATTGTTCAGTGCTGTCAAGTCAGTTCTGATTCACAGAGACCCTGTATGTTGAGAAGTAAAGATCTAAATGTTACATTGGTGGTAGTTGAAAAGGGGTGGAAATGAATGAAGTAATTTCATTTCTAATTATGAAAATATATATATATATATGTAATTCAACATAACATGTATGCCTCTGTTTGCAATTAAGTATGCATCTTTGGGTGTTAAAATTCTGCTTATTGAGAGATGTTTGCCCATGCCCAGCTTTCTCCACTTAGCTGCTCAAGTTGGGAAGTCTTCTTCCAAGCAGTAGGAATATAGCCAGTCTTAAGTCCGGAGTTTAGAACATCCGAGTGGGCATGTACACTCAAGACACTCAAATCACATCTGTCCCCAGCATTCACAATCATATTTTTCAGTTCTTTTATTAGGACAGATCTATAACTAAAGCATTGCCATTTCAACAATCATCATAAGTACAGTTCAGTGACATTAAGTGTGTTCATCATGCTTTTCAATCATCACCAATAACTATTCCTCAATGTTTCCATCACCTTCACAGACCCCAATATCCCCTAAGCAGTGTGTCTTCCTTTCCCCCACAAAATCTTATTTTAAGTCTAAACATGTGTAGGGATCCAAGAAAATGGAGTATGGAAGAAGTTGAAGATGCTCCTCTTCTAGAATGTAGTGTTTTCCAAATGTACAACCCTCTTGCCTCCCCTGTGCCCTACTTTTCTCACTCCTACTCCCATTGTTCTGTCAGATGTTGACGAGACGAGTGTCAACAGGACACACATACCTATGGAAAATATACCATCTGTACAAATACAGAGGGAAATACCCTGCATGTGTCTTGGCAACCTGTCTGAACCTGGACAGATTTACCCTAGCAGATTGTGAGTGGTCTAGATGAGACGGGAAGGGCTTGGTTTAGAAAAAGATTATTATCCAGTGTATTGGCCTTGGAGATTCTAGAAGTGATTCCATTCAAAGAGGCTGGAGAGTTTACTTTCATAGTTGGTTGGTACAGGACTTGAGAATTTGAAAAGGTCCAAGTTGTTTTAATTTAATAGCATGTGGGATAAATCCTTCTTTATTACTCATGATTTAATAAAGGTAGAAACACAGGTGATTCTCTTTAACTTTGCAACTAATCTCTGATTTGTAATGTTGATTTCTGAAGCTGCTGGAAAAACTTTGCAGGGCTATGAAGATATCTGGACTCTTATTATTTTGAATCGCTTTCAAGGATTTTAATATATTAGCTAAAATAATTCATGGGTTTTTTTATGTGAATCAGAACTCTTGTCTGTCTTTTCTTTCTTTATAAAATTCATAGTGGTTTCCTGCTTCCTAAACTTTCTGTCCACAATGCAGTATCTTCTCATCATTAGCACCTCAGGTGGGGAGCTGGCTTTGCCTAGACCCCTAACCAGGATCGATGGTCCTTTCCACATTGCCTTAATGCCAGCTATTTTCCTTTCAGTTCTGTAAGCAGAAAACACCCTAAGGACAGGACAGTTCTGCACTTCCATGAGTGGGCCTCTTCTTTGTGGTGTTGTTGACATTGTTCATTGCTGTCTAGTTGGCTCATGACTCATGACAATCCTATGTGTTATGAAGTAGAACTGCTTCATGGGGTTTTCTTGGCTACCATCTTTATAGAAGCAGATCACCAGGGCTAGATCACCAAACCCACTGAGGGCTTAGAACCTCCAACCTTTAACTTAGTAGCTGACAGAAGCCTTTTTATACACTACCCTGCTCCTCTTCTGTGTTTTCTTTTTTTTAGCATGCTCAAATAATTTACTTTTCTTGAAAACTGCCTCTGTCTAGTAGCTACACATTCTAGTGGTTTTATTTTAAGGAGCAGTCAAACCACTTAATTAATGCAACTTTATCACATTGGCACTCCCTTCTATTATGGTAACATTTCCTTTTTGTCAAAGTTGCCACAATCTTGTCTTTGGAGGTTTTCCTGCAAGTTAAGTCATTTTTAGAAGAAAGCATTGCTTGGGGGACATTCTTGAAATTCCCAGGATATTGGGCGTAAGATACTTTGTGCTGGTGGGTAGTCTTTAAACCACAAAAAACTAGCTGTCATTTTACAAGGTTAATGTGTATTCATGGATGACAGACTTACTTTTATCGTGTATTAGCAGTTTTATATAGATCATGCTCTTAACTGGCCCCGATATGCTTTGTGTCAAGTAGTACTGAACCTGCAGAAAGAAAAGGCTGACTTCAATGAAGATGACATAGGTCTGGTGAGGGAAATAAAGCTATTGTTGCTCCTGGCAGTTCTACTGTCACCAAAAGACACTGTTTTACAATATATTCATAGAAACTAGTTTTTATGTTGATACCTGAGAAGTCCTAATCACTTCAGATAATGAAAGTTATGTCTTTGGTTCTTCTAGAAACAACTCCACCCTCTTCCCTCAGGGAAGGTGACCTCCATCCTGTCAGACACATCTACATCGAATGTCCCCCATCACATGATGGGTACTGTCTCAATGGTGGTCTTTGCATATATCTTGAACCAGTAAACCAGTATGCATGCAGGTAAGTTAAAACTGTCTTTCAGGTATAATACCAAAGCCCATCACTTTTAGCTGATATGTAAAGTTTATACTGAGGAGATTTCTACAATTAGACCTCTCCTTAGGAAACAATATATATAGGAGGGGATTTCAAAAAGTTGATGAAAAAATGAAATAAAACAGTAATGGAATTTTCCCATGATCTTTGAAGTCCCCTTGTAAATAAAACCAAAGAACTAAACCAAACCCACTGCCGCTAAGTAAATTCCAACATAACATACAGATATAAAGTGTGTGTGTGTGTGTGTATGCATCAGCGTGTGAGTGTGTTTCTACTGCACACCCCACCCCCACCCTTCAACACACACTTTCCTTTTCCAAGGACAGTGGTGAATATAAATCTAAGGAATAAGCAATTTTCGCCTTAACTTAAATAACTTGATGTTACTGTAAGTCTGTTGTTATTATTAGCCCATGGAATTGTCCTCCGACAAGCCCATATCTAATAAAATGAAATGCTGCCTGGCCTAACATCATCTCCATGGTCAGTTGCAGATTGGACCTTTGTGATCCACAGGGTTTTCATTAGTTGATTTTCAGATGTGGATCACCAGGCTTTTCTTCTGAATCCATCTTGGTCTAGAAGCTCCACTGAAACTTGTTCAGCATCACAGCTACGAGTAAGCTTCCAGGACAGGCAGTTCATGGCTTTGCTTGAATTGTATTGGCAGAGAATCGAACCCAGGTCTCCCACAATGAATTCTACACTGAAGCACCACTTTATGATCCTTCCTCTGTAAGTGTAGTTGGAGGATTAAATTCCTTCTTGTGGTTGAAAAGCTCAGATTCATGAGAAAAATCCCTTAAAACTTAATATGTTTTCTACCAAATATGAGAGGACTTCAAAAAATTCATAGACCATTGAATTATCTTTTGATTCCATTTTTCCTCAAACTTTTGGAAGACTTGTATATGGAGAGCAGCAGTGATGTGCTTCTGCATTTACAAAAGCACTGGGCTGCTAATCAAAAGGTCGATGGTTCGAACCTACTCAGTGGCACCTCAGAAGAAAGGCTTGGTGATCTGCTCCCCAAAGTTCACAGCCATGAAAATCCTGGGGAGCACATTCTGCTCTACTCTGGAACATGTGGGGTCACCATGGAGTTGAAATCAACTTGATGGCAACTTGATGGCTGGCTGGTTGGTTGGTTGTATAGATTCACAACAGGATTTCTTGCCTCTGATTTTCAAAACTAAAAAGCATGTTTTCCCTTCCCTTCCAAATCTGAGTAACAATTGCTGGGTTTGGCAACTTGTCTTTTTTACTCCCTCTTTTTAGTTCCTCACAATGGCTTTACATGGGGTAAAGTATCAACCTGAAAATTGGATATGAGAAAGTTCTAAAACTATGGAGGTACTTCCTCTGTGCTCAGTTGGCAACATTTTCTAGAAGCTTTTAACAAAACACACTCTCATCTATCTAGTTCTGCATCGCATTTTACTTTTAACTAGTTTCATGCTTTCAAGACACTATGAGGGAAGTTCTGATACCAAAGAATACACAGGTTTCCCAGAGCTAGATTCCTTGTTCATTGACCATTTTCTCTGTGCCTGAGAAAGAAGTGATAAAATATTCGAGTCCTCAAAAATGGATGTTATAAGTTTAAAGGCTTTCATTATTTTATCAATAATAATAAGCTGAAGTATAGTCTAAATTATTGGAAGAATAAGTTATGTTCTGTGACAAAGTGTGTGGCCTTGCATTACATATCATATCGCCTGACAGAAAAAATGAGAAATGCTCATGAATATTAGTAAAACTGACTCCTTTCTAATAGACATCTACTCTTATGTTCATACTTACATGTTTTGATTAACATAAATTCAGTATTTAAAATAGCTATTGTTGATTTTAACATTAAGGAACAAATTGTTTTGAAGTTTTTCACTGTTTCTAACCAGCCCAAATAATGAAATTCTTAAAAGAAAAATCCTTGTTTATTAGGCCGTGGTTTGTTGTTCTGTATGGCACTTTAAATTTAGATTATAAAAGACATTATAATAATATAAAGGGCACCAACAGGTTATACACTGTGTTTAGTACTATCCCATCAATTCATTAAATGATTGATGAGCTCTTTAGAACACGGCTTTTCCTGTTGTCATTAAATCCCGGTGAAAATATCTGATTTCCCTGATAATATTTTCTGCATGAGTTGCTGCACAATGACAATTAAACTCAAGGTAACATTCAAATTTAAGGAACTTTAATCAAAAGCACTATTTAATGTATCACCCCACAGTTCATAGTAATCAGGGTCATAACATTGCTTTGAATTATTTATTTCTTAAGAAATCCTGGTAGTGTCATGGGTTATGCCTTGGGCTGCAAACCCCAAGGTCAGTAGTTCGAATCCACAAAGCACTCTGCAGGAGAAAGATGAAGCATTCTGCTCTCATACAGAAAGATTGACAGTCTCAGAAACACTATATGGGGTTGCTATAAGTCAGAATCGACTCCGTGGCACACAACTGCTACCACTGTACTTCATAAAAATGTACTTCAGTTCATAAATTCAACCCTTCCTTTCCCCTGCCCTGATGAATTCACCTTCTGGTTCATTAATTCCATAATAACAAATCTCTAGGGAGTGTTTGCAGTCCTGGTGTGGCGCTGTGGGATAAGCACTGCACTGAACTGCTAACACAAGGTCAGCAGTTCAAACCCACTTGCTGCTCCTTGGAAATACTATATAGGGTCGATACAACTCTGAACTGACTTGATAGCACTTAACAACAACAATAAGGAGTGTTTACTAACCCAATTTTTATTGGAAACACCATCTTGACACCGTTTCATACAGTGTTCTTAATGCTGTGAGCAGGATTATGAAGGACTGGCTCTTCCTTTCTTGCTTGGCGGCAATGGAAGCTCCCTATAGACACATGGGACCCTTGACTGTAGAGGAGGTGAGAACTAGAAGTCTCTGTGCCCAAGATGTTCTTAAAGGTTTCTTGGTCTGGAGATTTTCAGAAGCCTCCAAACCGTGAGTGCTTAGAGGAGTTCTTCATGGATTCTTGTTTGGTTTTGAGCCAATGGATACGCTCTGGGCAGTGCTTCTTGAAACCAAGATCCCCAACACCAACCTAAAAGAAAAGACAACAAAATAAAACCTATGCCATCAAGTTGATTGCAACTCATGGCAACTGCATCTGTTACACACTAAACCTGACCTCCATGGGATTTTTCTTGGTTTCGCGCTCTAGGGTAAGCGCAGGACTTCAAGATCAGTTTGAACCACAAGGTCATCAGTTCAAACTCCCCAGTTGCTCCTTGGAAACCCTCTACTGGGTTGCTGTGAGCCACAACTGATTCACCTGCACTTAACAACAACAACAGTCTATGAAAACAGATTGCCAAGGCCTTCTCCCAGGGTGTCGTTGGATGGATTTGAACTGCCAAGAAAATCTCATGGAGCAGTTCTACTCTGTAACACATGGGGCCACTGTGAGTCTGACTTGACTCAACAGCAACAAGCTTTGTTTTGGGTTTGGATGTTTCATTAGCTGTGAGACCTTGTACTAATTTTTCAGTCCCTTTGAGCTTCAATTACCTCATCTGTAAAATGGGACTATGCTACTGGAAGTAAAATGATTAAAAGTGCCTTGCACAATGTTAGACACATAAAAGTGCCATGCACATCCCTTAACAAATGCTATTTCCTCTTCCATTCTCCTTTGAAAGTGACTCACCAAGCTCCTATGACCAGCTACAGGTAGAACCAAAACTAGAATATACATCTTCTTGAGTTTGGCCCAATACTTTTTCCATGCTGTCTTCCCAACATGGGAACTAGTTCTCTGTATATTCCTTCAAGTCTTTCTGGAGTAAGGTGGGAACATGGACAGCTACTTAATTTTTCCATGAGTAGGGAAAAGGAATTCATAATAAGTGAACATCATGAAATACCTAATAGGATGTTTTTAAGTTTGATGCTCCTATGAAAGGAGCCCTGGTGGTGGAGTGGTTAAACGCTTGACTGCTTAAGAAGGTGAGTGGTTCGAACCCACTAGCTGCTCCATGTAGCAGTCAGCTTCCATAAAGATTGTTGTTGTTAAGTGTCATAGAGTTGGATCCAACTCATACCGACCCTGTATAGGGTTTCCAAGGAGCGGCTGGTGAGTTTGAATCACTGACTTTGTGGTACAAACCAACCTTGTGGGCCATGCTTTATCGCACAGAATTACACCAGGACAGCCTTTGAAACACTATGGAAAGGTTCTACTCAGTCCTATCCGGTTGCTATAACTATAAGTTGGAATTGACTAGCCACAATGGGTTTTTTTCTGTCTCTTGTGAAGGATGCAATTACTCAGTCCTTGGCTTTTATTTCTACCTGAGAGTCTGATGATTTCCTGAGTCCATGCACTCCCAGTAGATGGCAGTATTGCTTCACTTTCTTTAAAGGTTCGGGCTTGTCTGCTACTAATTCTAGTAAAAAGTTCACTAATGCAATAGCAGAATGGTTATGAGTGAATACTCCTCTTTGCCTCAGCATAGTTCTTGTTGTTGTGAAGAAAATAGGTAAATACTTGAATGTCAATTGTATGCCAACCCTTTTCTTTTGGGTTAATAGTGAAGTTTTCTCAGCATACTAGGTTGTGCCTCTTAATCACAGACTATGCACATTCATTCATAGCATAGTCTCCATTCCTACAAGTTCTTCTTCCCTTTAGTTTATAGTGGTCATGGTACTTGTGTGCCGTGGAGTTGGTTCTGACTCATAGTGACCCTGTGTAGGGTTTCCAAGGCTGTAAATCTTTATGGGAGCAGAAAGTCTCATCTTTCTCCTACAGAACGGCTGGCAGATTTGAACTACTGACCTTGCATTTAGAAACAAAACTCAAAAAAACCCACTATGCTACCAGGACACCTTCCATTAGCCTTTGAGCTTACTCAATCTGGCCAAACATTTGTTTCAAAACCTCTTAGGGCAGAGTTGGTCTTAAAAGGTGTCTTCTCAGAATTTTAGGCTAACAGAAATGGATCTTTAATCAATGTTCTGGAATGCCACATAGAGGTTAAATGCAAACAATCCCCTATAAATCCTAGGGCAGACAGACCAAAGGGGGAAGTCCATGCTGCATTGACTTGTAAATCACAATGCTCCCAACTGACCCCTGATGGATTTTCTACACGATTCCAAAAAGCTGAGTCTGGAAAAGTAAGGTTGAGAGAGGGCAAATATTTAGTGTGAAATATATGAGAGTTCTGGACTACGGATTACTGATGACCTCTGTTTATGTTGTTGCAGATGTGTTGTTGGCTTTGTTGGGGAGCGATGTCAACACCAAGACCTGAGATGGTGGGAACTACGTCATGCTGGCCATGGACGGCAGCAGGACATCACCGTGGTGGCGGTCTGTGTGGTTGGGCTTGTCCTGATAATCCTCTTGGCAGTCTGGGGGATTCGCTATTACAGGTGACCTTGCTTTCCACTGGTACTTTAAGTTTCCTCCTAACCCTTCCTAGAGATGAACTTCATCCTAAAGATGCCTCTTTCAGATGAACTTCTTTTACACATTTGCTACATTAAACAAGTGAAATGACAGTTTAAAAAAATTCCACTGAAATGACAGTTAAAAGAAATTCCACTAAAACATCAGTGGCTTCATTTTTCCATATTCTATTGGGTCCTGGTCCAGCATCTAGTAGTTTACATAGTTTTTATCTAATACAGATGCAATTTTGGGTATTCTACTTTTTCCTTTTTAACAATACGATTTTTTCCCTGCATAACTATATATTTTTTTCTTTTTATGACTGCCTAACACTATGAGTCAGCATCAAGGGGCTCAAGCGTGGCAATGATAGTGAGGTTGGCTCAGGATTGGGCAGTGGTTCGTTCTGCTGTGCATAAGGTGGCTATGAGTCAGAACTGACTTGATGGCACTTAGCAACAACTAAACAACAACGTCCTTGGGTGGTCCAAACAGTTTATGTTTGAAAGGTTGGTGTTTCAAATTCACCCAGTGGTGTCGTAGAAGAAAGATCTAGTGGTCTAATTTCATAATTAAAAGCCAAAACAAAACAAAAAAATAATTACTGTCAAGTTAGTTCTGATTCATGTTAACCCCATATATGCAAAATAGACTATACTAGTGCTTCATGGGGTTTTGAAAACTGTGATCTCACAGCATCCTTTAGAGTTGTCTCTGGGCAGATATGAACCATTAACAGTTGAGAACTTAGCCATTTGCACTAACCAGGTACTCTCATGAGATTACAGACCTTTAAAGCCCAACAGAGCACAGGTGTACTCCAAAACACATGGTGTTGCCATTAGTTACAGTCAACTTGATAAAACAGGTTTGTGTATTTTTTTACTTGATAAATGGGCTTGTTTTGTATTATTTTCATGTTATTCCCATTGAGTTGATTTTCAAACTCAGCAACCCAATAGGATAGAGTGGAACTGCCCTGTAAGGTTTTCAAATCTGTAAAGTTTTACAAAAACAGATTGTTACATCTTTCTCCTGTGGAGTTGCTGGTGGGTTTGAACCACTGACCTCTTGGTTAGGTGCACAGCATTTCATCACTGTGCCAACAGGCTCTTCATGAAGTATTATGTTTTGTGAAAGAAAATTGGTATTTTCCCTAACTTGGAAGGACACTCTGGCTCTGGGCTTTTGTGTTTTCAATAATTTAAAAGTTATCAAGGATGCATACATTTAATGATTTCTAAATAGCACTGCATTAGGGTGAAGGAGTTCTGGTGTGGAGCTGAATGATAAGTACTCGACCGCAAAGTCAGTTTGAACCACAAGATTGGTGATTCAAACTCACCAACCACTCCTCGGAAACCCTCTCCCGGTTTGCTATGAATCGGAACTGACTCGATGGCACTTAACAACAACAAGAACAAAATTAGAGTGAAAGAGTAGGCATGACATTGTTTGCTCATGTTCCCTACTACGATCACTGTTTTAAATAAATTATGTACAGTTATAGTTTATGCTGTACAAAATCAGTGAGGCATAAAACCTTTGAACTGAAGGGAACTTGAATTATCTAGTTCAGTCTTGTCATTTTGTAGATGGAGAACTTAATATTCACTTAAGTAATATGCCCCAGTTCTCTATGAATGTACAGAATAGGATAGACATCTGCAGATAAACATCCAACTACATCCCCATCACTACACAACCACTCAGAGGATGGGCCCTAGGCATTAGACTGCACAGCTTTAAATCCCAGTTCATACCTAAGTAACTCTTGGTATGTTGACCTCTGTATGTATGTATGTATGTATTGATGTATTTATTTATTTATTGCCAGAAAATAGGGACAAGAATAGTATTTATCTTAAGGGTTATTTAAAAGAGCTACCAATTATCTGTCATCAGTTTGCCTACTGTAATAACTTTCCTTTAGGTTACTATGATGCTGGAAGCTATGATATGAGTATTTAAAATACGAGTAGGTTCACCCATGGTAGGTAGGTTTTAGAAGTGCTTCCCAACTAAGACAGAGTAGGAAGAAAGTCATGGTGATCTATTTTTGAATATTAGCCTATGATAATCCTATGGATCTCAACAGAATAATGTCAGTATAAGGAGCTCTGGTAGCATAGTGGTTATGAATTGGGCTGCTAATCTCACAGTCAGCAGTTTGAAACTACCAGCTGTTCCACGGGAGAAAGAAGAGGCTTTCTGCTCCCATAAAGATTTACAGCCTCAGAAACCCTGTACAGGGTCGCTATGAGTCATAATCGACTCCACGGCACTTAACAACAACAACAGTGTGGCCCTGTAGGATAAGCACAGTACTGCAGTTCAAACCCAGCCACTGCTCCTCAGAAACCCTATACGGGCTTGATAAGAGTTGAAACTGACTCAACAGCACTTAACAACAACAATAGTGCTGGAAGATGAGCCTCCTAGGTTGTAAGGCACTCATAATACACTGTGGCCTCAGAATGGATGCAAGCATGCAAACATTATTAGGATGGAGTTGGTCCAGGCGACATTTCCTACTATTGTATGTTGAGTTACTGTGAGTCTAGCCAACAGATGACAACTAAGGATGAGTAAATAGCTTAGCATTTGTCAGACTCTTAGTGACCCTATGCAAAACAGAATGAAATTCTGCCCAGTCCTGTATCATCCTCACAACTGTTGTTTTGTTAAACCTACTGTTGCTGCCACTGTGTCAATACATTTCATTGGGGGTCTTCCTCTTTTCATTCACCCTTCACTTTACAAAGTGTGATGTCTTTCTCCAGGGACTAGTCTCCTCCTGTCAACATGTCAAAAAAACCAGAGATAGATTTGGTCATCTTGGCTTCTAAGGAGCATTCTGACTGTACTTCTAAGACAGACTTGCTTGTTCTTCTGGCAGTCCATGCTACTTTCAATATTCTTCACCAGCAACATTAACTCAAAAACATCAGTTCATCTGCAATCCTGCTCAGTCATTTTCCAGCATTTACAATGCATATGAGGTGATTAAAAATACCCTGACTTGGGTCAGGTACACCTTTGTCTCTGCTCTTTTAACACTTTAAAGAAGTCTTTTGAAGCAGATTTGCCTAATGCAATATGTCTTTTGATTTCTTAACTGCTGCTTCCATGAGCATTGATTGTAGAGCCAAGCAAAATGAAGTCTTTGATAACTTTGATAGTTTCTCAGTTCATTATGATTCTATTTAATGATCCATTGTGAGGATTTTTGTTTCTTTACATTGAGGTACAATCCGTACTGGAAGCTGTAGTCTCGGATCTTCATCAGTAAGTGTTTGAAGTCCTCTTCACTTCCAGCAAGCAAGGTTGTATCATCTGCTTATCTCAGGTTGTTAATGACCCTTCCTCCAATCCTGATGCCATGTTCTTTTTCAGATATTCCAACTTCTTGGCATACAGACTGAATAAGCATGGTGAAAAGATACAACCCTGGCACACATCTTTCCTGATTTTAACCCATTCAATATCCCTTGGTTCTTGTTCTGGTGACTGTCTCTTAGTCTATGTACAGGTTTTTCATGAGCACAACAAAGTATTCCGGAATACTCATTCTCTACAATGTTGTCCATAGCTTATCATGACCCACACAGTGGGAAGCCTTTGTGTAGTCAATAAAGTACAAGTAAACTTATTTCTGGCATTCTCTGCTTTTAGCCAAGATCCATCTGATGGATAACCTGCATTCCACATCCTCTTCTGAATCTGGCTTGAATTTCTGGCAACTCCCTGTCTATGTACTGCTAATACTATTTTTAAATTATCTTCAGCAAAATTCTACTTGCATGTGATATTAATGATATTGTTCAGTGCTTTCTGCATTCTGTTGGGTTACCTTTCTTAGGAATGGGGTCAAATATGGATCTATTCCAATAGTGGGTGAGGTCTTCTAAATTTCTTGGCACTGATGAGTGAGCACTTCAGTCCTGAATTTGTTGCAAGATTTCAATTTGTTCTCCATCAATTCCTGAAGCCTTGTTTTTCACTAATGCCTTCAGTGCTGTTGGGACTTCTTCCTTAAGTACCATCAGTTCTTGATTAGATGCTACCACTTGAAATGGCTGAGCATTGACCTTTTCTTTTTGGTACAGTGACTCAATATATTCCTTCCATCTTCTTTTAATACTTTCTGTATCATTCAATATTTTTCCCACAGAGTTCTTCAATATTGCAAGTCAAATAAACCAATAAATCCCATTGCTCTTGAGTTGATTTGGGCCCATAGCAACCCTATTTTTATTGTTGTAAGTTTCCACTGAGTTGACTCTGACTTATAGAAACCCTGTTCACAACAAGCAACTCTATGCCCAATAGAATGAAACCCTGCCTGGTCCTGCATCATCCTCACAATTAGTGTTACACTTGAGCCCATTGTTGCTGCCATTGTGTCAATCCATCTTACTGGATGCCTTCCTTTTTTCACTGACCAAACATGATGTCCTTCTCCAGGCACTGGTACCTCCTGATACCATGTCCAAAGTGTCAGAGAGATGAAGTCTTGCCATTCTGGCTTTTAAGAGCATTCTGGCTGTACTTCTTCCAACACAGATTTATTTGTTCTTCTGTCAGTCTATTGTACTTGTAATATTCTTTCCCAACACCACAACTCAAATGGATCGATTCTTCTACAGTCTGCTTTATTTGTTGTCCAACTTTTGCATGCATATGAGGCTATTAAAAATACTATGGCTTGGATCAGGTACACTTTAGTCTTCAAACTGATATCTTTGCTTTGGAAAACTTTAAAGAGTTCTTGTGTGGCAGATTTGCCCAATGCAGCCTTATAGAAACCTTCTGTTGTTGTTATTTTTAAGTAACATTGAGTCAGTTCTGACTCATAGTGATACTGTACAGGGTTTCCAAGGAGCAGTTGATGGGTTTGAACCACCAACCCTGTGGTTAGCAGTCCAGTGCTTATCCTACAGTGACACACCAGTACTCCATAGCAATACTACAGGAGTTAATAAGTGCTATCTTCTATCAACCCTGTTATGATTTTCCATGAATGTTAATATTCCCCAAAGTGTCACATATTCCCAACTCTTTTCTACCTCAGACTGAGAGGCAAAATTCTCAGGTACACACTTGAGATTTGAATTCATGATTCATTGGTAACCAATGTACATTTTAGCTTGGTATTCAATTGATATCTTGGATGTTTGTAGGAAGAATATTGAATGATCAACATTTACACATACAGAATGGCAAAAGAAGAGAGATGTTTGGTGATAAGTGTAGGAAAAAATGAAACAAGACACTTAGGTTCATATGTGCCACAATTAAGTTTTTTGTGTTTGCTTTTTTGATTAAGTGTTTGCTTTTCTTATTTGATGGGCAAGGATGTAGTAAGTATTTCTATACTTCCACTGCATTTTTTCAGAGTTCTAGATTTAAGGCTAATAGCAAATTATTGGGTTTTTATAATTTAGAAAGACCAGCTAAACTGAAAGATGACTAAAATTTTTACATAGAAATAAGAACATTTTTCAGTTTCTGATCCCTGTGTCCCTAAACACAAAATTGGTAAGGACTCACTCTTTAAAGGAGCCCTAGTAGCACAGTGGATTACGAAATAGGCTGCTAACTGTAAGGTCATCAGTTTGAATCTGCCAATCGCTACATGGGAGAAAGATGGGACTTTCTGCACCCACAAAGATATACAACCTGAAAACCACTATACAGGCTCAGGTCACTATGATTTGGGGGCATACAACCACTTCTTTAAAAGAAATCTCGTACGAACCTCTTCTTTTTCTTGGTACCAATGGTACCCAGAGTTGCAAAATTGTTTCTCGGTCAATCTATGTTTATTTACCTTACAATTCAGATCAGTGTAGCTGCTTACCCCAATGAAGTCTTCGGTTGTGTGACTGGCTATGTTTGTACCTGGAAAAAAGCACAGGTAGACAATATCTTATCTCTGATTTCACAAAGTGGGTGGAGGAGAATCACCATCAGCATCATCAGTCCAAGGCTAATTCCTATGAAACAGAGGTTAGATATGGTTCCACCCTCTAACCTTCTTTGCAATTCTTACACTAACTGTCCCTCCCTCAGTATTCTCTACTTCTCTTCTGGAGTCAATAATTCATTGTAGTGGTCACACAAGACTCCTAGATGATACTCATGATAATGGGGTTTATTGGGGAAATTAACCAGGTTACAATTCAGGATTTGAAATGTTCAGGGTACAATTATTCAGGTTGGAATAGTCTCTTCTCAGCTATGCCTGCAGGCTTGCCTCTCTCTGATCCTTGGTCTCTTAGCAACATAGCTTCTCGGCCTCTCCCTTGCTCAGAAAATGTTACAACCTCCTTTTAAGGCTTCTGATAAATGCACAAAGGGCACTCCACTCTGCTCCAAATCTCAGCCCAAAGACACTTAGCTCTAGCTCCACGAATTAGCAAATCTAGTTCCCCAGATTAAGTGTCTGGAGGCACTCCATTCTGCAAGTGAGCCTCGTGTCCAAAGGTACTCAGATTTACTTGCTATGTGGGCAGGGAAGCCCACCTCTCTGACTCTTGGATCAACTGCTGATGCCTTTCTGCCACTCCTGATATCACAGATCTATTTCCTGGGTTGAAAAGTTGCAATGTGCAGGGATCTCAGATTCCAATGGGCACATCCCACTCTTAAGCCTTCTTTCTTGTTAGTAGTGAGTTTCCCTTTCCTGATTCTGAGATAGCTCATCTTAAACCCAGCAGAAGGACAAAACTCGCCAATCCCCAGGTTAGATTTTCAAGTTTTTATAATCACAATTAATTCTGTTAACAATCACCCACAACTGAATAATATAATCCTATCATCTACCCCTCACATCGTCACAGAACCTTGGAAAGAGTGGAAAATTATCTGGGAATTACTTTAAGTTCTGCAAAAAAGAAAGCCTTGTACTCCTAATTGTGATAATCTTTTTTCTTTTCCATATACTTTATCAAACTTTCAGCAGCAAAAATAGTGGTTCTGGCCATCACTGGGTGGGTTGAGTGTGTTCTGTTTTGTTTTGAGATGGTCTCAAGTTTTGTCTTTATTGCAGGAATCATAACATGGCATCAAAAACTCCAAAGAATCCATATGAAGAGTCAAGCAGAGATGTGAGCGGTAGCATGCCTACTAACAATGAGACTGGGATGTCTTCTTGTCCGCAGCCTTGGGTAATGCAATCAAAGCAGATAAAGCAAGGAATTGTTTTGCTATTAATCCCTGTTCTGTTTTTTGTTTGTTTGTTTTTGTTTTTAACTCTTCAGAAAGAAAGAATGAAGACCAGTTCAGAAAGGCCAAAATATGTTATAAATTCTAGCTTGTGGTAATATTAGTCAATACCACATCTACTGGGGAGGTATTGGGTTGAGGAGTTGGGGTGGATTTGAAGGGTAGAATGGGAACTAGGTCCTAAATTTAGGTAATAAATCAAGAAACCCGCTGCCAGTGAGCCAATTTTCACTTACAGTGACCTTATAGGATGGAGAAGAACTGCTTCTTAGGTTTCCGAGACTATAACTCTTTATAGGAGCAGTCGTTGTTAAGTGCCGTTGAGTCAATTCTGACTCATAATGACCCTGTATAGGATTTCTGAGGAGCAGCTGGTGAGTTTGAATCACCGACCTTGCAGTTCAAATGGCCTTGCTGTCCAGTGCTTATTCTACAGTGTCATACTAGGACTCCTTACAGGAGCAGACAGCCTCGTTTTTCTAATGTGTAGTAGTAGCTGGTGGGTTTGAATTGCCAGTCTTGCAGTTAGCAACCTAAAGCTTAGCCCACTTAGCCCAGTGTTAGTGTTATGTGTGTTAGGTGTTGTTAAATTGGTTCCTACTCATAGTAACCCTACGTACTACAGAATGAAATACTGCCTGGTCCTGTACCATCCTCATAATTATTATGTTTAAGACCATTGTTGCTGCCACTGTATCAGTACATTTCATTGAGTTTCTTCCTCTTTTTCACTGACCCTCCACTTCACCAAGCATGATTTCCTTTTCCAGGGCTCCTTAAACTAAAAGAATAAGAAGGTCTGAAACAATACCATTATTTAATGGCACATGAAATTTACAAAATCTTTTTTTCATGTAGCTTCTTCTTTCATAGAACTTAGATTTTTGTGTGTTATGTAGAAAGTTTCACCCACTTTTTAGGTGATCCCCTTCTAGTGAGTTTTTTTAAAACCCAAAATTATGTTTCTAATTTTATTAGTATCTATTCTCTCCCATACATTATAATTTCTTCAACATTATTAGCAAAATAGTTGTCAAATATGGAAAACAAAACAAAATCAAAACAATTCAGGAAGCCCAGCTAAATTCATTCTTATACTAAAAGTTCAACTTTAAAGTCAAATTTAACGGAGGCTCCTGTATTTTCTGCTATTCATAACGTTTTCAGTGACTAACGATTCGGAAGTAGTTCATCACTCCTTCTTCCTAGTCTGTCCACCATGGGTGACCCTGCTGGTTATTTAAAATACCAGTGGCATAGCCCTCAGAATCACAGCAACTCAAGCTACCACAGTAAGACAGACAGACGAGTGGTGGCCATTTGGGGTTTTTTATCTGGTAACCCTTTGTGTTCTCTAAAAAGCGTAGTGGATTGGAAAGCTCAAGATTTTTCCTTAGGCAACCTGCTTCAATAGTTGATCTGGAAACACTAAAGTGCAGACTTTGGCCAGGCATGTAAACGCTGGACAGTGATTAAGGAAGATGGGAGAATTGATGCATTTGAATGATGGTGCTGGCAAAGAATCTGAATATATCACGGAATTGCCAGAAGAATGAACACATCTATTTTGGAAGAAGTACAGTCAGAATGCTTTCTAGAAGTAAAAATGGCATGACTTAACCTTGCTTACTTTGGACATCACGAAAGACAAATTGCTGGAAAAGTACATCGTGTTTGGTAGAGAGCCAGTAAAAATGAGGAGAAACCCTCTATGAGATGGGTTGACATGGTGGCTTAAACATATCAAACACTATGAGACTGGCATAGGGCTGGGCAGCATTTCATTTGTCTATGCAAAAGGTTGCCATGAGTTAGAGCCATCTTGACAACCTGCAACAACAAGCTGTCTTGAAATTGTTAAGGGAATTTACATTTCAAGAACACTGTCAGAGATAACTTGTCTGATTTAGTGTTTGGTGTTGGTATTGTTTGTGGCATATATTGTCTAAGAGACTAGAATATCTGTAAAGTTCATGAGAATTTGAAACCTGTTGGCAAAGAGGAAAGAGCTATTAAGAAGCAATTATGGAGAACCAAAGGCAGTGCTCCACCACTTTCCTGCCAGTTATACTGTGGTGGCTTGTGTGTTGCTATGATGCTGGAAGCTATACCATCTGTATATTAAATACCAGAAGCGTATGCCCATAGTGGACAGGCTAAGACAGGCAAGGAAGAAGAAGAGGTGGACTACTTCTGAATGCTGAGTCACTGAAAACTGTATGACTAGAAGTGGAACACTCTCAGCACCAGAATATTGAATATTGAAACGTGATGAGTAGCACCAGAATATAGTCAAGAGTGACACTGTAGGATAAGCAAGTTTGGCGGTTCTAACTCACTAGCTGCTCCTCAGAAACCTATACAAGCTTGTTATGGGTCAGAACTGACTCAACGGTACTTAATAAAAATACTGATGGAAGATGAGCTCCTCAGGTTGAAAAGCATTCAAAATATGACTAGGGAACAGCTGCTTCCTTAAAGTAGAGTTGAGCATAATGATGCAAATGGAGTAAAACTTTCAGGTCTGTCATTTGCTGATGGACAAAACTTGAAATAAGGAGAAACTGGTGTAAACATCCATTAATAATCGGAACATGGAATGTATGTAGTATGACTCTACTAGAAAATAGAAAGTTGTTGAAAATGAGATGAAATGCATAAAGATTGAAATTCTAGGCATTAGTGAACTGGACTGGTATTGGTCATTTTGAACCTAAAAATTATAGTTATTGTGTCAGGAATGACAAATTGAAGAGGAATGAATGGCATCTCATTCATCATCAAAAAGAACATTTCAAGATCTATCTTGAAGTGTAATGCTGTCTGTGATAGGGTAATATCACAGGCCTACAAGGAAGACCAGTTGATACCACTATAATTCAAATTTACAACCAACTACTAAAGCCAGCTGCTCCTTGGGAACCCTATATAGGGTCGCTACGGGTCAGATTCGACTCAACGGCACTTAACAACAACAACTAAAGCCAGTGATGTTGAAATTGAAGAATTCTACCAACTTCTTCAGCCTGAAATTGATCAAACATGCTATCAAAATGTTTTGATAATTATTGGTGATTGGAATGCAAAGGTTGGAACCAATGAAGAAGGATCAGTCATAGGAAAATGTGGCCTTGGTGATAGAAATGACACTAGAGAGCACATGATAGAATTTTGCAAGACCAATGACTTACTTCAAATATCATTTTAAAACAACTTAAGAGACAATTATATTTGTGTACCTAATTACATAGAATACACAGAAATCAAATTGACTACATATGTGGGAAGAGATGGTGGAAAAGCTCCATATCATCAGCCAAAGCTAGCCTTGGGCAGATTGTGGAACAGACCTTCGCTTGCTCATATTGCAAGTTCAGGCTGAGGTTAAAGAAAATTAGAACAAGTTCACAAGAGCCAAAATTTGACTTTGAACATATCTCACCAAAATTTGTAAATTATCTCAAGAACAGATTTGATGCATTAGACACTAATGACCAAAGATCAGAAGAATTGTGGGATGATATCAAGAACATCATATGAAAAGAAAGCAAAAGGTCATTAAAAATACAAGAAAGAAGGAAAAGACCAAAATGGATGTCAGAAGGAATTCTTGAAACTTGCTCTCCAGCTTAGAGTTGCTAAAACAAATGGAAGAAATTAGGAAGTAAAAGAGCTGAACAGAAATTTTCAAAGAGCAGCTTGAGAAGACAAAGTTAAGTCTTATGAAATGGGCAAAAACTGGAGTTAGAAAACCAACAGGGAAGAATATGCTCAGCATTTCTTAAGCTGAAAGAACTGAAGAAAAAATTCAAGCCTTGAATTGCCATACTTAAGGATTCTATGGGCATAATATTGAATGATGCAAAAAGCATCAAAAGAAGATGTAAAGAATACATGGTCATTGTTTCAAAAAGAAATAGTTGATGTTCAAACATTTCAAGAGATAGCATGTGCTCAAAAACTAATGGAACGGAAAGAAGAAGTCCAAGCTTCTCTGAAGGCATTGGCAAGTAACAAGGCTCCAGGAATTGATAGAATACAAATTGAATCTTTCAACAAACTGATACAGTACTGAAGGCACTCAGTCATCTATGCTAACAAATTTGGAAGACAACTACTTTGCAAACTCATTGGAAGAGATCTATATTTATATCCATTCCAATTAGAGGTGACCCAACTTAATGCAAAAGTCATCTAATAATATCATTAATATTACATGCAAGTAAAATTTTGCTAAAGATAATTAAAAAATGACTGTAACAGTACACTGATATGGAATTGCCAGAGATTCAAGACAGATACATACAAGGACTTGGAATGAAGGATATTGTTGATGACATCAGATGGATCTTAACGGAAAGTAGAGAAGACTAGAAAGATGTTTATCTGTGTTTTATTGACTATGCAAAGGCTTTCAACTATGTGGATCATGACAAGCTATGAACAACATTGTGGGAAGTGAGGAAACTGTACATTGATGAAGAGGCAGTCATTCTAACAGAAGAAGGGGACAATGAATGGTTTAAAATCAGGAAAGGTATGCACTAGGATTGTATTCTTTAACCATAATTATTCAACATGTACATCTAGCAAATAGTCAGAGAAGCTGGATTATATGAAGAAAAATGTGGCATCAGGATTGGTGGAAGATTCAGCAAGCCTTGCTTTCTGAAATCTAAGAGGACTTGAAATACTTATGATGATCAAATATCAGAGTCTTCAATATGGGTTGTACCTCAATGTAAAAGAAATAAAAATATTCACTACTGGACCAATAAATAATATCATGAGAAATGGAGAAATGATTGAAGTTGTCAAATATTTCATTTTGCTTGGATCCACTATCAACACCCGTGGAAACAGCAGTCAAGAAATCAAACGATGTATTGCATTAGGCAAATCTGCTGCACAAGGCTTCTTTTAAGAGTTCAAAAACAAAGAT